GTGCCCCCATTTTTTTTTTTTTTTTTTTTTTTTACTTTAGGGCACATGTACTCACTGGAGAGAAAGAGAGACAGAAAGCAAGAAATCACTCCTCAGGGGATGACCACGCCACAATCCCTTCTCCATTTTCCTCTCAGGACCTTGGGCATGCATGCACATATGAGTTTTAAGCTACTGGGGCCAGGACTCGAACTGCCATCGACTACATAGGAATCCAGCAATGTAACCATTATGCCATCCACTGGCCTTCCCCATGGCTCTTGATGGACCTCTATCTGCTACTGCAGATCTCAACCAGCTATGAGCCTGCTCCAACCTGGGTGCCCTTGGAGTTCATTTTGGGGGCAGCCTGCTGCCAATCACCAGTCTTAGCAATGCTTGTCTTTGTGCTGCAGGTACAAGGGCCTGTACTGGTGGAGGACACCTGCCTGTGCTTCAACGCCCTTGGGGGGCTCCCTGGCCCCTACATGTGAGTGCTCTCCCATTCCTTTGCAGGGGGTCAACGACAAAACTTCCAGAACTACAAAATGATTGGTTACCTGATATTGCATATTGTTCACTGTCTTGGCATCAACACCGCTGTTTCTGATTGTCCTGAGCAAGGATTAGGGAGAGGAGAGGCGTACGATTCTTTTATAAGTGTGAGAATGTGATTGTGTAAGTGGAGATGGGAAAGGGGGACCCACCCATTTGAGAGGTACATTCATAGGCAGATCAATTTCAGGAATGAGGAAAGAAAGTTGAGATCTGAAAATTGATTTCTTTAAAACTGTTCAGTACCCTAGACCCCCTCAGAAAGTCTTTGTATATCTCTGGGATGCCAATACCGCAATTTGAAGACCTGCATGGAGTTGGGGACATATGTACAGAAACGCTGTTGATGGTTTTGAGGAATTTATATCTTAACTTCTGGATGACCAGTTTGTTTGCCAAGGCAAAAGCAGCCAAATACACTTATGCCCACAGTATACGCTGCTCTACATCCTCACTAGCACTGAGTATTATAACTTTTTAATATTAATAATACTAAAACTTGGGGAATGTGAAATATTATCACATGTGGCTATAATTTGCATTTTCCTAATTTCCAGTGAGTTTGAGGTCTTCACAAATTTTTTAGAGTTAGTTCATTTTATTAATTATTCTTAAACTTTTTTTTTAGAGATTTTTGCTATAGGGCGCGTGCGCTCGCCAGACAGACAGAGAGAGACAGAGAGACAGAAAGCGAGAAATCACCCCCCAGGGGGGATGGCCACGCTGCAATCCCTTCTCCATTCTCCTCTTGGCATCTTGGGCACGCATGCACATGTGCCCGGCGTGAGTTTTAAGCCACTGGGTCTGGGATGCGAACCGCAGTCGACTACGTGGGAGTCCAGCGACATAGCCATGCTAACTGCTGGTCCCATTATTAAACTTTTTAAAGAATTATTTTATTTAAATTTACTTATTTTTAATTTGAACAGAGAGGTAGAGAGAGAGAGAGAGAAAGTGAGAAAGCAAGTTGCCAAGTCCAGGAATCGAACCATGGTCAGCCATGTGGGTGTCCGTTCCCTTAATCACCATGCCACCTGCTGGCCCCCTATTATTATTATTATTCTTTCTTTATTTTTTTAAATCATTTTAACTTTACTTATTTTTATTTATTTTAATTTGACCAGAGAGGGACAGAGTGAAGAGAGAGGGAAAGTAGAAAGCAAGCCACCAGGTCCAGGACTCGAACTGTGGTCAGCCATGTAGGAGTCCAGTGCCCTTAACTACCACGCCACTTGCCAGCCCCTACTTTTATTTCTTAATTTGAGCAGAGAGAGGCAGAGAAACAGAGAAAGTGAGAAATCAAGCCACAAAGTTTGGGACTCAAACCACAGTCGGCCACATGGGAGTCCACCTCAACTACCACGCCACCCACCGGTCCTCAGTTGCTGGTTGATTCTTCTGTGCATTCCCTGTATACCTCTATGTCCTTTATTTTATTTTATGTTTTTACTGGATTCATTTTCTTTATTTGAGACATTCTTTTTATATCCTCTTGACTGTTTGAGGGCTCTAATCTCTGGGGCACAGCCCAGAAAAGAAGATGATAAGATCCATCAGCTCCCAACGTCTGATTCTCCTTTACTTGTCTTGCAGAAAGTGGTTTCTGGAGAAGTTGAAACCTGAAGGTATTCTCCCCTTTGTTTCTTCACTTGGATCTCTTGGGAATGAGAATCCAGGGGGTGACACAGGGGAGCAGTAATCTAGAGTCCCGGGCTCCAAGCTAGTCACAGTGGCATGTGCCTGCAATCCCAGCTTCTGTGGAAGATTGTGAGTTTCAAGGCCCTCTGGGTAACATAGTGAGACCATGACTTAGGAAAAAGAATTGTAGGTTCCAGCAAAAAGAGTTGTAGGTTCCGGCCCCCACTGTGGAGTGTCCGTTCACCTCAGTGTCCCTGTCTATAGCCTGCAGTTGACACTTTTCCTGTACTACAGAGAGCATTGAGACGGTGGGGCAGAGTGGATGTGGGAGGGGTAATGGGAGCTACCCATTTGAGGGAAAATGGAGCTGTAATTTTTCGGTGTCTCAAGGGAGACTTGGCCCTAGTGCTTGCCTGGGTGTGTTTACTTTAGCTAGGGCCTAGAGGCTGGGCACCTGCCCCTCCTAGGATCCAGCAGCCCATACCCTGGCACCTACAGCTATAGGCCACAATTTTCCCTCTTCAGATGCTTTAAAAACATTTTATAGGGGACCAGCAGGTAGCATGATGGTTAAATCGCTGGACTCCCACATTGCTGACTGCAGTTTGAGTCCTAGACCTGGCAACTTGCTTTCTCACTTTCTCTCTCTCTCCATCTCTCTCTGGTGAGTATATATACCCTATAGCAAAATTTTAAAAATAACAAATAAAATTAAATAAACACAATTAAAAAAACATTTTATATTTTGGAGCATTTAATATATGTAGTTATTTGTTAGTTTAAAAAAAGGGAGTAGTAGACTGCAAAGCCCTTGTCCTCGTTAGCCAGCTTCCAGGGTTATCAGTACAAGGCCTATCTGTGACATCTGTAACCCTCCTAATTTTCCTCAGCCCAGTATTTTAAAGCAAATTCCAAACATCATGTCATCTGTAAGTTCTTCAGCCTCTATATCTAAAAGATTTTTTTCTTTTTAGTTTGCTATAGGGTACATGCGTTCGCCAGCAAAAAAGGGAGGGAATGTGAGAACGTATCCCCAGGAAGGGGTGGCCACACTGCAGTCCCTTCTCCTCCATTCTCTCAGGATTTGGGGCATGCATACACATGCACCCAGTGTGATTTTCTAGTCTCTGGGTCCAGAACTTGAACCATAGTTGACCATATGGAATTCAGCCGCCTTAATCACTACCAACTGGCCCTAAAAGATTAAAAAAAAAGTTTAAAACCATTACCCAGCTAAAACGATGATTTCTCAGTATTATAATCTTTTTTCAGACCTCCTTGATTGTTGCAAAAATGCCTTTTATGGTTGGGTGGTTTTGAACTGGGAATCAAACCAGGTCCACACTGCATTTGGCTGATTTTTTTGACTTAAAGCCATATGTCAGATCAGTTTCCTTTTGGAAGGAGGGAAAGA